CCCCGCGCGCTGAGGGCCGCGCAGGGCGAGCGCACCTGGCCTCCGCGACCGCTGGAGCGGTGCGGCGCGTCCGCCCCGGAGGATTGGGGATCGCGGCCCGTGGCCGGTCCCATCGCGTCCCGGTGTGCGCAGAACTGGGAGCGGCTTGGCCATGGCCATGGCCCGGTCCAGGAGGGACTCCGTGTGGAAGTACTGTTGGGGACTTTTGATGGTTTTATGCAGAACTGCGATCTCCAGATCGATAGTTTTAGAGCCTATCTACTGGAATTCCTCGAACTCCAAGTAAGTGTCGTCCACGATCCCTTCCTCTTCCCCGGCGCCCGGGCCGATCCCCGGGAGTACGCCGTATGGTCCGGGCGGGAGGCGGCCTCGGAGCCTGTTTCTAGAACCTGAGGCTCCTGTCCTCCAGCCCCCACCCCGCCACATTTCTCTAGGTGGGGACCGGCTGCACTTGCGAGCGCGGGCTCCAAGGGGCTCTTCCTGGGCTTCCAACCTCAAGTGCTCGAGGGTGCCCAAAGCCCTGGCGACTCGGGTGGCACGTCGGGAAAGGTGTGGGATTGGCGCTACCCGGCCCTCCCTTCTTTTTTGGAGAACGGAGGACGTCGCCAGTAAAGGGGCTCCAGGCGCGCAGCGACTGGCGGGCTCCGGAGACAGGCAGAGATGCGGCGCTCTGGAGGAGCGCGGGAGCCTCCGGCCGGGGCCCCGGCGGGAAGGCGGCAGAAATCGGGGGTTTGGGGCAGTGGAACGTCCCTTTGGGGAGGGGACACTGGGCCTGCAGCGTCCGGGAGCCGGCGTGGCTCTGAGTCGGCTTGCTAGCCCGAACGTGCGCAGGGAGCTCGCTGGCTGGGCCGGAGAACTCGGGCTGCCAGCCCTCCGCACCTCGGCCTCTCCCTTCGCGTCGGAACCGGTGGCCTAGCCCCGGTGCGGTCCGGGTAGCTGGCTCAATTTTAACGACGCTTTTTGGAAAAGCTCAGGGCCCTGCCCAGTCAACACTGCAGCCTTTGCACTCGGGGAGTCGGGAGTCCCTTGATCAGACTTGCTTTTTAGCAAAGCGCACAGCCGGGAGAAAGCCAGGCCTGAGACTAACTTTCAGGTCTGGGCTCACAGGGTGCGCTCGGGGTTTGGAAAATGCAAGCCCTCCTTTGGTATACGCGGCCATGGTCCCGGTAACCGCACCTGGGTGCTGCCTATTACCTCATCTTCCAACTACGGCCAGAAAGTGCTGTGAGGAATTCTGGACTCAGCCCTGGAAGAGTGTGGAGACGCTGGCTGGCTCCTGGCTGGAGGCAGACCTTTGAGATTAGAAGCAAAATCAATGGCCTAATTGGAGTTGAGCGTATGGTGCGTGGCTTCAGAGTAGAGATGAATGAATTGATTTAGAAATTACCCCCATAAGCAAAGAATTGCATCTACTCTCTTGAAAGTGGTCAATTTCAAATTCACCATTATAACTGACCAAACACGTTCCCCTTAGAAAGGGGAAAAAAAAAAAATCTCGGGTTGTAAATGACCCGAAGCAGACATTTTTTGCGTGTTTGCCAGGAGGCCCCCTTTTTAAAGTTACTGGGGCCGCCTTTGATGTAGTCTGATCGGGTATAGATTTTTTGTTTTGTTTTGTTTTGATTTTTTAATGTAAGGTGTTGTATCTGCTCCCCCGGAGTGTCATGGTTGCAGCCACAAGGGATCTACAGGCACCTGGTGGTGCCGGAAGGCGCCTGGCTGGGACCTGAGCGCCGCCGTCGCCGCTCGGACTGGGGCCCTGGTGGTGGCTGCTGCTGACGCTCGCTCGCGGTGCCTACAGAGGTCACCCTTCCCTGCCGAATGCTAGCGTCGGGTGCGCCCCTCCCCCGCCTCCCCGGGCTGCCTGCCTCTTTCCACTTTGCACTTTCACTCGCCGCCTCTTTCAGAGGCTGTCTTCTTCTTTTTCTCTCCCCACGCCCCACACCCCCGGTCTGGATTTAATATTTATATTTAAATCTAGTTTAAAGAAATTCCCACGAAACCCTTCAGAGCAAGAGAGACCTAACTGGTTTTGTATGTGTGTGTGTGTTCGTAGTGACCACTATACTTGGGTGTGCAGCAGGGAGGATCAGAAATACTGACTTGTATGAAAAAAAAAAACACACCAGTATTATGCGTGCCTAGCATCTGGAGAATCCTGTCTTCTGTTTGTTACGCGCTAGGGAGGGAGTGGTGTCTTACATTTACTCACTATTTTGATCTTTAACGGTATAGTTTTCTGAGCTGCGGCCACGGATGTACAGAGAGCTGCTAAGGGCCTGCATTTAGCTGGAGCAGGCCTCCCTGAGTGGCTGTTAGTGAGACTACTCTCTGGCCTCCACGGTAAAATGTCTTACACTTCGCCTGAGGATGGCTTGAAGTCTTTGGAAAGCATGTGGCGGAATGCTATCTGTGAGATCAGAAGGATCTCTTCCTCGAAGAGCAACACAAAAGGGCCTTTTAGTTTTTAGTGCCTGGGGTTGCCTCCCTTATTCACTTTTCCAGAGAAAAGTTTCTGTGGATAAGATGTGGCAGGCAGGTAATCAGAGGCTTGGAAGTTTCACTTCACTTTGCATGAACTGTGGGACAAGTCGCTTGTCCTGAAGCCGGCATCAGTAATTAGATTTGTTTCATGCGGGGGTCAGCCTTTTTAGCAGGTGGTCCACACAGGGAGCACGCAGCAGCTGTGTGCTCATAGGCCCCAGAAAATCATTTGTAAACTGGAATCTCCATAACTACTTTAACCACACTGCCTGCCATCTCATCCTGGAGAGTTTATGTAATAATCAGAAGTTCTGTGTACTCAGAGATTAGTGGCCGCCCTGTTAGATTCGCCACATAGTATCTGTAGATGCTGGTACTGTTTAGGTCATTTTTCAACTATTTTTAAGTTCTGGAAAGAACAGCAAAGCAAATCATTTCTAATTAACAGTTCAGTAGAATCCCCTTTCCAGCATAGTGGGTTTTTTTTGCCAAAATAAAGTGCCGTCTGGTTTTTTTGTTGTTGTTGCTTGTTTTGATGAATAATAGTTTCACTTTAGGACTAACAATGCCACACTGGCATAGTATTCTAGAATAAATTACACCTTTGAAAATTCCATTCCAGTATTAATTTATGTCTGCAGGTTTTATTCTGTATTACATACTAGTTACTTTGCAAAGCATTGTGCTTTTCCCATGTAATTTTTCCCCCATACGTAACACTGAATTCCTGAAATTGATTGGCTTGATACAAAAGAATGGCTGAATAATATCCAGATAACCTGAAACACACGGGCCTCCTCCCCCCCCCAGGTCAGGCCCTGAATAAATACGGGCCTGTCAAATTGATAAACTAAACTACAATGGACAGAACTGTTTAAATAGCCGTTCAATAACATACACTCCAGCCTACCTTCTATTGTGTCTGAAATTCCTATTTCTGTAGATAAACAAATGCAGATTCAGCCTGGACTGAATAGCGCCTTGAACTGTGCGTACGCTCCACAGTTTACACTTTGTTGGTTTTAATAGAAAGAAAAAGCACTGGGGTGGAGTTGGTACTGTTTCACGTCCACGTTCCTCACATTTTTTGTCAGGGTGATCAACTGTAGGTAGTGGGGTCGACCCTGTTCCACAGCTGAGCCCGGCAGAGCACAAAGACAAACGTGGCGGCAGCCTCTTCAGATGAGGGTCTGAGCAGTCCCACGACTGCACTTCTTAACCTCTGCAGTTACAACTTCCAGCCCCAGAAAAGAGGGCCAGGTTAGGATGATTTGCTGGGCACTTGGTTCTGAAGCGTTCACAAAGCTGAGCTGTTGACACTTGTCCTACCCATGCAAAGACATGCAAATGGCCCCAGCATTCCACTACGGTTCTGACTCGGTGGCTGGAGCTGTAGACAGGCAGAATTAGCCACCCCCTGGGACTACCTAAAAACCAGGCCTTGGAATGGTTTCCCTAGTCTGCTGGAGGAGAACTGGTGGATTTAATTAGCTTTCCTAGAACCTCTTCGCATTGACTGAGATGAATCCTGTTGGTGGGTCCACATGAAAACCTCCTTCAACCAGCGTGGGCCCTGGAGGAAACTAAATCTTTGCTGTCTAATCTTCAGCTGAAATATTTCGGGTGGCTCCCAAGGAACTTAATGTGTCACCTAACTTGGATCGACATTTCAAAGCACATGCACAGAATGGGAGACGATTCCCGATCCCAGCATGACTGTGGGGCAGCGTCATAGAAGTGGGAGTGGCGGAGACCGGGAAAATATGGACTGTAGACCCTGGGGGAAGAATCACTTTAAGGGACAGTATTTCCTTGACATTCCAATGCAAACTTTATTCTCAAAATATCTAACTGCAAGCTGGATGCTAAGATGCCTCCCTCCTCCAAAAGATGATTAAAATGTCTCTAGTCACTGCCTGCCTGTGCTACAGACATAAAGAACCTGTTTTTCAGGTCACTTAAACATCTGCATAGATTTGCTTATGAGATCACCCTTTGTTAAAGAGAAGTGTTGGACTGCTTAAAATATTTTGATTAAAATATGCAGATCCTGTAGAACTGCAAGCTTCCAGAGAGGGTTAGCTCTCTCTAGGTAGCACCCCCCCACCCCCCACCCCGTAAAGGGGAGGATTAGAAGGGGGCCGGTGCGGAATAAGAACAGCCGAAAAGGAAGGATAGCAAATGAGACATGTTCCGAACAGCTTGGAAAAACTCCTGTGGCTTCATTGTCTCTATAAAGCCGAAGAATACAAAAGCAAGCAGCCAGCCCTTCTCCCGTGATGGGAGATGCAAACCGTTGACATGGCTCCCCTGTTTAACTTGTTTAATTCTCGTTTTAAATTCAGCACTATAACAGCCGTGTGAACTCTGAAGATTTCTTTAGTAATCCATTTTGTAGTTCGGAATCAAAAACAAAGTGAAAGGGTCTGACACAATTTGCTTTTATTTTTAGGCAAATCAACCCTGGTCATAGTTAATAAGGGGATTACAACCCAGACTACGTCTTTACAGATGTAAAGTAAATCAAGGGCGGCGCATAAAGAAACTGATCCCTTTTGATTGAAGTATGGTAAAAAGGCATAGAGGAGCTAGCAGCAGTAATCTGATTGTATGGCAATAAAACCACCATTTTCTGTCTTTCAGATAAAAATAATGTGGTAAATCCATGCAGTTCATAAGATGTAAAGGCAGATAAAGGAGAAGCCATGGCAACATATAGATTAGCTTGATGTTGGAAATGACATGTCCCTGAAAGGGTGTAGGGCGAAGGCCCTTGCTCCAGGCTGTTGGGTATTATG